TCTGGATACAAGTCTATTAGCAGATATAGGATTTACAAATATTTTTTCCCAGTCTGTGGTTTGTCTTTTTCACTTTCCTAATGGTATTCTTTGAAGCACAAAAGTTTTTAATTTGGTTGAAGCCTAATTTGTCTTTTTTTTTTTTTTTGCTTATGCTTTTGGTGTCATATCTAAGAAGGCTTTGCCTAATTCAGGGTCATAAAGATTTATCCCTATGTTTTCCTGTAAGAGTTTTATAGTTTTATCTCTTACATTTAAGTCTCTGATCCATTTTGTATTGATTTTTGTTTGTGTTATAAAGAAGGGATCCAACTTGATTCTTTTGCATGGAGCTATCCAAATATCTCAGCACCATTTGTTGAAAAAACTGTTCTTTCCCCATTGGATTATCTTAGCACCCTTGTCAAAAATCAGTTGACCATAAATGTGAAGGTTTATTTCTGGATTCCCAGTCTCATTCCATTGATCTGTGTGATTATACTTATGACAGTGCCACACTGTCTTGGTTACGGTAGATTTGTGGTAAGTTTTGAAATAGGAAAGTGTGAGTCCTCCAACTTTGTTCCTTTTCAAGAATGTTTTGACTACTCTGGGTACCTTGAGGCCACTATTTCTTCAAAAATATTTTCTTCCCCTGTCTTAGTTCGGGCTGTTATCACAGAATATCAGAGTCTGGGTGGTTAAACAACAAACATTTATTTCTCACAGTTCTGGAAGCTGGGAAGTCCAAGATCAAAGTGCGGACAGATACCATGATCTGGTGAGAGCACTCTCCCTGGTTTGCAAATGCCTGTCTTCTCATGGTATCCTTCCATGGCTAAGAGAGAGAGCTCTAGTCTCTTTCTCTCCTTATAAGGACTCCAATCCCATTCATGAGGGATCCACCCTGGTGACCTAATTATCTCCCAAAGGCCCCACCTCCAAATACCATCACATTGGAGATTAGGCTTCAACCTATGAATTTTGGAGGGACCCAAATGTTCAGTCCTTAGCATTGCTCCTACTCCTCCTAGGACTCCCTTTACATACGTCTTTGAATGCTTGTGGTATCCCATAAGCCATTGAGGCTCCGCTCATTATTTTGTAGTGTTTTTTCTTTCTGTACCTCAGTTTCTTTCCTTTTTTTTTTTTTTGAGGAAGATTAGCCCTGAGCTAACTACTGCCAGTCCTCCTCTTTTTGCTGAGGAAGCCTGGCCCTGAGCTAACATCTGTGCCCATCTTCCTCTACTTTATATGTGGGATGCCTACCATAGCATGGCGTGCCAAGTGGTGCCATGTCTGCGCCTGGGATCCATACCGGCCAACCCCGGGCCACTGAGAAGCGGAACATGCGAACTTAAGCACTGCACCACCGGGCCGGCCCCTGTACCTCAGTTTCTATAGTTCTCATGCTATGTCTTTAAGTTCACTGATCTTTTCTTCTATAGTGTCTAATCTGCTTTTAATTCCATCCAGTTAGTTTTTCATTTTAGATATTTTTCAGCTTCAGAAGTGACTTTTTTTCATATCTTCCATTTTTCTTCTGTTTGTGTTCATGCTTTCTTTAAATTCCAGAGCATATTTGTAATAGCTTTTTAAAAGTTCTGTCTTCTAACTCCATCCTCCATGTCATTTCTGGATGTTTTTTCTTGATTAACTTTTCTCCAGTTATGATTTACATTTTCATGGTTCTTGTTTGCTGTACCCCTCCCTGCATTGTGGCCTGGAAGGTGCCTGCAGGCAGAAAGCTGGGATAAATAGAGAGCTCATCTTGTTTGTTTTCCTTCTCTTATGGACCACAGTCCTGTCCAATGTCTGAAAAAGTTGTTTCACATATTTTGTTTAGTTTTCTTTTCTTTTTTGTGGGAGAATACTTCTTGTCATGCATGGTTAATACATCATGACCCATTATATTATTTTTAAATATAATTTTATTTTCCTCTTCTTTTTCTTGTTCTCTGATACTTATACTCTTATTAGTCATATATTGGATCTCCTGAATTAATTCTCTATGTTTCTTTTTTGCTTGCTTATTTTTCATTCTTTCTCTTTTTTTTCTTTCTGGGAGACTTGCCTAATTTTATCATTTAAGCTTTATATTGAATATTTAATTCTCCTATTTTAAATTTCTAAGTGCTCTCATTCACTTAATGTTCCTTTAAAAAAAAAAAGAGAATCTTTTATTTCAAGGTTATAAAATCCTTTTTTATTTCTCTTAAGAAGTTAATTATAGTGGGCTTGTTTTTTTTAGTTTTTATTTTTCTACTTCCATCTTATTTGTTTCTTTAGAGTTCTTTTTGTTTCTTTCTCTCTTGGACTTTAGAGGCTGCATTTAGATGTCTATAATCTTGAGCTACCTATTCATTCATGAAAGTGAATGAGAGCTCTTTGTGTGAGAGACAGGCTTCTTGACTGATTGGTTTCACTGTAGGGCAATTGGACATGCTGCTGGCATTTTCCCTCTGGAACCCTTAAATGTCAGAATGGGGAGATGTTTTCTCTTGGGCTGGTCAGCATAAAGGTCATTTCCTCAGAGGCCTTTCTTGATAACCTGATCTAAAATATCCACTGACCCCTTTTCTACTACATCATCCTTCTTAATTCCTTCATAGCACTTTTCACAATCTTCTCTGCTTATTTATTTTCTGACTATTCCCTCCCTTGTCTCACTGTAACGTAAGCTCCTTGAGGGTAGAGACCTGTCTGTCTTATTTATCATGGTATCCCCTGTGCCTAGAATGTATTTCTCCAAAGGGCCAAGAACAGTGCCTGGCACACAGAATATAATAAATATTTTTGAAGAGATTAACTTGATGCGAGGTTCAGGAAAAGCTACACAGGAGGCGATATTGAACTCAGTCTTAAAAAATAAGGGTTTGGTTTAATTAGGCACTAATCATTAGATTGAATAATAAGCAGTAATGAAGGACTTTATTTTGGTTATACATTTATCCTGGTTATGCATTATTAACATGGCCTAAGAATAATCACTGTGGGCAAAATAGCTTGGTCTTAATGTCATTCCAAAGAACTTCCTTTGGGATCATTTGGAGGCTAGCATTTTTATCTGATCAAACTCTTCTTTTCTGTTCAGAGTTAAAGGCATAAAAGAGTAAGACTTAAAAGTACTGACAGAGGGTATTATGCTGAGTGAAATAAGTCAGAGGGAGAAAGTCAGATACCATATGATCTCAATCATAAGTAGAAGATAAAAACAACGACAAAAAAACACATAGCATTGGAGATTGGACTGGTGGTTACCATGGGGGAAGGAGGGGGGCAAAAGGGGTGATTAGGCTCACATGTGAGGGGATGGACTATAATTAGGTTTTGGGTGGTGAACATGATGTAATGTACACAGAATTCGAAATATGATGTACATCCGAAAATAATAAAAAAATTTAAAAAAATTTAAAAAGTACTGACAGTAACTGAAGTGAATTGTGGCAATTATGATAATTAATAACCAACTAGATCTTTCAAGATATAGTCATATATTCATCACTTATTACTGAACATTTATCGTGCTTAGAATCTGGGCTTGCAAAACATTTAGGTAAAGTACTTATCCTGCACTTAAGATTGATACCAATTTGGGAGACTGGAATTCTCCATCATTCTCTCCACAGGAAAGGTGACCTTCTGTGCTTGGCCACTCTGTTCCCATTTCCCATGGAGTGAATGTGGAACACATTCCAGGTCTTCTCTACTTAATCAAGACCTACACTCTACTCTCTGTCACTTTGAATAGGATCATATGTACAGTATATCTGATGTAAGACTACCCATCTATTACAAAATCATTTGACAGTATTGATACAGATCCTGCAAAATCATAGGAAAACTAAGTAATTCTTATGAATACAAAATGCTCAATGGAAAAAATCTAGAGGAGTACTCTAAAATTTAAAATATTTTTGAATGCAGAATTTATCCCATGATCTCGTTATATCCTTCACATTTTAAGTTGAGACAACTAATTGAGTCATGCTTTCTTATTGGTCTTTTTATTTTATACATCCATCCTGGTTGTTCAGTGGCATTTTGGATATTTTGAGGAATTCATTGGTAGTAGAATACACATAATATTTATTTTCATGATTATCTACTGCTTACAGTACTTATGGGATGAGCCAGGTAATAGATCTGAATTTGGAAACAAGGCCAGGGGTAACTTTTTTAGGTCAGCAGATAGCTGTCTGGAAGTAGTTTTGAAAACAAGAGCTCTGTTTATGGGACAAAGGAGCTCATTCTTCCTCCAATGGTCCCAGGTAGACAAATTATACTACAGCCCACCCCACTGCCAAACCAGAAACTGTGAGGTCATGGCAATGGCTCAGCTCATGGGTGACTATTTCCAGGAAGCCTTCCCCAGCCCCAGGCTGAGTTTGTGCTACCAAAATACCTATGAAAACAGAATCACACTGTAGTCTCGTTACTTGTTGGCCATGGGTTTGTTGAGCCCCAGGACTGTATTCTTCCTTCCTCTGTGCTACACAGTGTATTACAGTGCCTGACAAATATGTAGGTGTCCAATATATGCTTGAATGAATGAATATGGCATGATATGACATAACATGACATGAATATAGCTATGGCAGATTAGAATAAGTTCAAAATCCAGGTGCTTCCCCAAGGAGGAGTAGCCAGGAAAGAGTTTGGGTCTAGTCACTAGAAGCTCTTTCATTGGGAGATCAGAGTTAAGGGACAAGAAATCTAGTCTCCAGAGGGAACCATTTGATAGAAAAATAATGTAGAGAGGAAAAAGCATATACTTCCTTCTCAGAGAAACTTTTTTCTGTTGGTAAGGGATGCAGGCGTTGGGGTATGAAAGAGAAAACCAGGTAAGAGGGCAGAATTATGCAAATAAATACATTAAGAAGTAGAGATTCATAAGCTAGTTATAGAACAAATCCAGAACAGTTTTTAAAGTAATACATTTTATAGCTATTTAGAGAAATAAGTATTTTTCAATCACAGTTTCATGTAAATATTTTTAAATCAATTTTTCTTTATGCTACCTTCACATGCAGAACTTGGTTGTTAACTGCTATAAGCTGATTAAGATTCTCCAGTATTTCTAAGTCTCTGATGTCATCAATATTATTATTGCTGATATTCAATGTAGAGAGGGATTTCTGTAAGAAAAATAACTAAATTACCATTAGTAAATAGTCTAATTAAATACTATATATAGGAACCAGAAATCCTAATCCGTGAAAAATTTAAAATTTATCAGTTCAGGCTGTTTTGCTCTTAAACAAGAAAAATAAAATAAATTAGGCAAGAAAATAAAAAGCCAAGGAGATTTTGTTTCTATGTCAGGTGAAACTTTTAGAATTATCATAATTGTGATATAACTTACTATTTTTTTCACAAGTTCAATTTTCCTCTTTCAGTATATAAGAGGAATTTGTAGAAAAAAGAAACCCAGAATCAAGCAAAGAAAGAAAACATGAAAGAAAAGAAAGAAAAAAGATGCCTCAATAAACAAATGATAACATAATGTAGAAAAAATGCTTATTTCAGTTTAAGCAAATTATCATTTTGTGTTAAATGGCACTAAGATTTGTATTTACATAGGAAGAAATAGTTTTTCTGGTTGTTTTTCTAAATAGGAAACATTGAGAATGAAAGAATATCTGGTTTTTATTTTTATCTCTCTCTATATAGTTTTCTCTTGACAATCTATATGTTCAGAAGGCACTTAAAAATAATAATTAGTAATTAACAAGTTCAGCATCAGCTGTTAACGAGGACATAAACATACAACAGAGCAACACTAAATCAAAACCATCTTAAAATCTAAGGCCCAGGAATCTCTACCAAGATGGAGTCTACCCACTGAGGCATCCACACACGGCTAACCTCTAGAGAAGATACTTCCTGGTGTTTTTTAAGACTTGAAATACAGCTAAAAAAATTATGCCTTATATTTAGAATTTCAGAATCTGCTTGAATGTATGTAAAAATTAAACAAGCAAGAATATCTTCTGTGGCATTTTGTAATAAAAATAGCTATCCCCACAGTGGGGTCAGTCTTCTTGGATCAGTTGAGGTTGAGCTGAGACACAGGTGATTCTGGGGTGGGGGTTGGACAGAAACCAGGTCACTTCTTTCTTTTCCAATTTAAAGCACTACCCCTCAATTGTTATACATTTGGTTCAAAAACCTTCTACTGCCCTCTGTTTCTGGGCCCTCTAAAATAAAACCAATGAAATTTGTAAATACAACAAACATGTATACCCCTTACCCCAGAACTGAAAGTAGTGTATCCTAACAAAGCCCATTTTGAGGATTAGCAAAAGCCTCTGTGGCACCCTCTGGCTTCTCAGTTCATTATGATACTTCCATGTGACCAGTTGTCAGTTGACAACTGGAGCATCAAATCCTGTGCTCCCAGATCTACCTGCTTCTGATGAGGCAGAGCCTTATGTAAATGCACTCTACAATCAAGTCAGAATCCAGCGAGAAAACGACTTATCATTGTAATGATTCTCTAGGTGGTTTAAAATTTGCCAAATAATTGTGCACCTCTTTCCTTAGGCGTTTTCCTAAAATTTTAAACTTTGAGTCATGGTAATCACCAAGGTCCAAATTATGAATGAATACATCTGTATTAGAACTTCATACTTTACAAACCTTTTCACATCCTTCTTTTGATCCTTCCAGTTACCCTTGAGGCAGGCATAATAATTATCCCCACTTTATAGCTGCTGAGTCTCTGAGAAATTATGTAGGGAAAATTAGTTTTAGCTCTCCCATAAACTCTCAACTGGTAATGTAAATATGCAGAGTATGTACAGTGTTCAAATATACTTTCACCACTTTCCTGTTCCATTATAACTGTTAATCACTATATTTGTTAGAATACTCAAATGTGGCCTTACTGCCAGAGAATGAAGAGTTCTTGGATCAAATAGAAGCTTTTCTCCAAGGGGAAGCCTCTGACTCTCAACATGAAGCTCTCTCAGTCCTTCTAATCCTTCTAAACCTTCTATGACAGCAATGTAATTGCCTCCCAGATACCTGCAAAATATGAAACATAATTTTATTTTATTTTTTGAGAGGATTTCTTTCTTTCTTTCTTTCTTTTTGAGGGAGATTAGCCCTGACCTAACATCTGCCACCAATCCTCCTCTTTTTGCTGAGGAAGACCAGCCCTGAGCTAACATCTGTGCCCATCTTCCTCTACTTTATGTGGGACACATGCCACAGCATGGCCTGACAAGCGGTGGGTAGGTCCACACCTGGGATTCGAACCAGCAAACCTGGGACTGTTGAAGTGGAGCATGCGAACTTAAACCGCTGTACCACCAGGCAGCTGGCCTCAGTAAATGTCTTTTTACAATCAAATCTACATCAACATTATCAATTCTATGACCTTGCTCTTTTGAGATGTGTGATTCTGAAAGGCACAGAACTCATTTGGGTTCCATGGAAACTTCTTTCATCAGTTGAGCCTACAAAAAGATATTTTAGGTATCCCTGTAAGCCCTTAAGACAACTCATCTTCCTGCAAAAGAAAAGTATATCAGGCTTAATAAAATCAAATTGTTAGGTATTACATTTGAAACAATTTAGAGAATTGAGAACAATTTAGAGAAAAGAGAATAACAATTTAGAGAAAAGAGAATAAAAATTGAGGGTTGTTCCACAAAACGGCAGATAATGGAAAAATATGTGCATGCAAAAATATTACTGTAATGATGACAAACAATTATATTACTTAAAAATAAAAGCACTTACAGTTTTTCCAGTTTCCTTAATGACCTGAGGTTCTCTATACATGAAATACAGTTGTTTTGTAGGTACAGGTGAGTCAGATTTGTGGCATAATTCAAGTTAGTGATTTGACTAATACGATTATCATACAAATATAAAACACTGAGATTTTTGCAAAGAGAGAGGTCTTCCTAAAAAGAAAGCAAAAACAGGTCATATTTAATTTCTCCTGAGAACTTAGAAGTTTGTTTTAAGAAAGTTTTTCACTTAATCATTCTGCAAATTTCCCTAAGGTTAATATAAAAGAACAGTATTTTTCTGTTCTTAGCACAGTTAAAACAAGACTGGAATGATTAAAAAATTAGTTCTAGGTTTTAGTATTCTGTAACTATATCAATAAAATTGTATTTGTTAAGGACGATTTTCCCAGTGCAAGCAATTTTCCTTGGAAGCAATTAGGCTCCTTTGAAAGTCAAAGCATTTAAGAAATTATTGTTCCAATATTATAAATCAGGGCTTACTGTTTCTGTAGAATAGTACTGAAAATTGGAAGTCATCTAGGTTTTCAAGAACAGTGGATTAATAAAGAAACTATGATTATGCTATTGAAGGGAATACCATATACCTATAAACATCCTTTAGTTTCTTTAGTAATATCTTGTAGGTCTCATAATAAAATGAAAACAGTACATTCAATATGACCCACTATTGTAAAATTATATGAATACATGCCTAGAAAAAAGACTGGTAGGATATCACCGAAATGTTAATAGCGGTTTTCTCTGCATGGTAGGATTACAAGTCAATTTCTTTTTTTGTGTGTGTGTTTTATACAAATGAACATCAATTACTTTTGAGATAAAATAATTAAAGGTATTTTTAAAAAGCTGTCATTTCCTGTGTAGTGGTAGAGTGGGCCTAGAGTAAGTATAGGTAAAAGAGTGAAGTTCTGCTCAAAAATATCTTGACCTTCATTAAGTAAACAAGATATTTTAAAAAACAACCACATTTTGGGGACTTCAAGTTTACAAGTTATTCTTATCTTAGTATGAATTACTTTAACCAGTTTGCTTTCCTCCTAACAAAAGTCATCCACACTGAAGGAGCACTGATTGTGAGGGGACAAAACAACGTTAAATGGAGGCTCTCTGGACAAAGCAGTCTGTATGTGGTATGATGAGGTAGAGAGCTTGGGGCAACAAAGTAGAAACAGGAGGTTCCGGCAGTTGGACTCATGGGGAGAAGGATCACCAGGAAACTGAAAGGGGTATAGAATGAGAGCTAGGTAGGGTCTCTGCAAAAAAAACCTGATTGTCTTAACTGACAATTTTGCCTGGGGCTTTGGTGTTTTTTCATTCATTCATTCAATAAATATTTATTAAGCACTTAATATGAGTCAGGCACAGTATTGGATGGGGGATTTAGAATGATGCAAACAAAATAGACATGATCCCTGCCCTCATGGAGCTTATTTGTTTCCAAGAAAATTTCTCTCATCTTAGTCTTTAGCATTTTATTGTAGACAATGGATACTAATACAGATGGCTTAAATGGGTTATTGCTGCTTTTAAAGTTTCCCAAATTAGAGCCAAAAATTAGCTTAGCACAGAGAAAAGAGTTTCAGAGTATATCCACAAACATAATCTTGTCTGATATAATTGACAGAGTATAACCTACACTTATATAACCAGTTAAATTATGTGCAAAAAAGATTTCACTGCTAAAGTTTTGAAATATGGTACTCTCATAGTTAATTGTTAATATTTTGACATGTTAAAAACTTCATATTCCCAGGTTCTGGAATTATACATAAGTAATTAGCTTTTGAAATTATTTTACAATATATGTTTTCAAATCTAGTTTGCTACCTATAGAGTATTTTAGGGGAACATACATATTTAACACATATGTGCAACAATCACAATGTATATTTTATAGAGACTTCCTTTTAATAAGTTTATCAACACAAGCAGGACATTAAAATGAAAACACAATATAAAGCTGACTAATCAAAATATAGTTAGTAAGAAGGTATGCCCTGACACTCATTTCTAAACTTCACATTCTTAACTATATAAAAATAAGAAATAATTTCAGAGTTCTTACAATTGCATCTATGTTTTTGTCTGAAAAATTTATATGAGTTATTTTCTTCAGGTATTGTGAAGTAGTTTCTTTTCGGGGTTTAAAATTGTTGCTTTTGGCAATCAGATCCAAGGTCAGTCGAACCATGATTTCTCTGTAAATGAGACTCTCAGCAATAGCTCTGTTCTGATACCATACCAAGAAGCAGGTTTAGGGATTGTTTTATGCCCAACTTTCTAAAAATTAAAGAAAAAAAAGGAATGTTATGTACATAACAATTTAGGGAAATTTATTTTGATTTACTTTAATTTTCTTACATAAAACTATTTGATAAGGTAGTTCATAGACATTTTCAGGAGCATTTAGGTATTTTCTAAGTTTATAGACACTTCTTTTTATAAAAAGATTTAAAACACCAAAATTAAATACACAAATGCTCATTCACTTTTACTTTTAAATCTTTTTCTCTCCCTAATATTGAGTTGTTATTGTGGGCATCTTTTAAAGGAGTATTTTTCTCTCTTGGAGTCGAAAAAACCTCAAGGAACATCATCTAGTGTTCTCACGTGAAGAAACTAAGGCCCGGAGATTTGTCTCAAACTACTCAAGCTAATGGCAGTTGAGAATGAGATCAGGTCTCCTGGCTCTTTTTTCCTTAGTATCCGTAGTGATCATATTTACTAAAACCGCAAATCAGAACACATGGTATGAAAACCTCGAGTGTATACATAGGAAAGTGGTGCAAAATACTTAAAAATGGAGCTGGCCTTGAAATTTTATGTTACTATAACTGCAATCTATAAAGAGGCAGCATAACGCAGTGTTTCTCAATCCAGACTGCCTGAGTTCAAGTTTTGGCTCCACTGCTCACTGGTTAGGCAATCTTGGGCACGTTACCTCAGTTTCTTCTAAAATTAGGATAATAATAGTACCTGCTTCCAAGGGATATTGTGAGGATTACGTGAGATAATTGTGTATAGAGTGTTCTGCACCGTGCCTGGTACATAGGTCGATAATGTTTGATATCAGCATTCTACTACTGTTTTCTTCCCTGATAAGCTGAACACTATTCACCATTTCACCTGGAATATGTTAGAGCTGTTAAATAAGGGGAACATGTTATGGATAAAATATTGCTTTGTGTAAGATATCCGTATGTGGCCCATAAATTTGAGGTAACTCATTTTTTTTCAATCATCCTGGAAGTGTAGTTAAGTGATAAATATACCAGTTTCCCCAATTGTGCTTTATATTCTCTTATAAAAAATGTAACCAAAAATACAGTTTAAAATTGATCATTATTATTCCAGTGTACCTGGAATTTCACCAACCAAACATCTCAATTTGTGTAGTATTCTGGACATGAAATCAATGCTTAGGAGGAAAAAATGAATTCAGCAGAAGGTAAATTTGTGTTCTCACATTTTGGCATATAATTACCCAGGCTACATTATGTAAAATGGCCACAATAAAATCTTTAAAATGTGGAGTTACAAACCAAAGTTACAATAATACTAGATTTTAGACTCATTATTGTTTTTAAAATGTATTAGTCTCATAAGTCATGTAGAAAAATAAAAAGTGGAATTACTAACCATTGTTACAACAAAACTAGCTTTTGTAATTGCCCATGTATTTACCTTTATTGAGATCTTTATTTCTTTGTATGGCTTCAAGTCACTGTCCAATGTCCTTTCATTTACCCTGCTGGGCTCCCTTGAGCATTTCTTGCAGGGCAGGTCTAGAGGTAATAAACTCCCTCAGCTTTTGTCTATCTGGGAATGTCTTAATTTCTCCTTCACTTCTGAAGGACAGTTTTTCAGGATTTAGGATTCTTCATTGGCACATTTCTTCTCTTAGCACTTCAAATATATTGGCCCACTGTTTTCTGACCTTGAAGTTTCTGATGAGTAATGTGCTGATAATCTTATTAAGAATTCCTTTTATGTGATGAGTCATTTCTCACTGCTTTCAAGATTCTTTGTGCTTTGAAAGTTTGATTATAATGTGTCTCAATGTGATCTCTTTGGGTACATCTTAGAGTTTGATGACCTTCTTGCATGTTTATATTCAAGTCTTTCATCAAGGTAGGGAAATTTTCAGCCATTATCTCTTCAAATATTTTCTCTGTCCCATTCTCTCTTTCTCTGTCCTCCTCCTGCAACGCCCACAATGTATATGTTGACCTTCTTGATGATATCCCACAGGTCCCTTAGGCTCTGTTCACTTTTCTTCAATCTTTTTTCTGTCTGTGTCTAGACTCAATAATTTCCATTGTCCTATCTTCAAGTTCACTGATTCATTCTTCTGCTTGTTATAATCTGTCTTTGAATCCCTCTAGTGAATTTTTCATTTCAGTTATTGTACTTTTCAGCTCTAGAATTTCTTTTTAGCTTTTCCATTTCTTTATTGATTTTTCCGTTTTGTTCATACATTGTTTTCTTAACTTTCTCCATGTCTTTTTTCAGTTTTTTGAACATCTTTACAACAGTTGTTTTAAAGTCTCTTTGTCTACTTGTATCTGGCATCAGGTCTTTTTCTTTCTTTCTTTCTTTTTTTTTAAAGATTTTATTTTTTTTTTTCCTTTTTCTCCCCAAAGCCCCCTGGTACATAGTTGTATTTTCTTAGTTGTGGGTCCTTCTAGTTGTGGCATGCAGGATGCTGCCTCAGCATGGCTTGGTGAGTGGTGCCATGTCTGTGCCCAGGATTTGAACTGACGAAACACTGGGCTGCCGCAGTGCAGCACACAAACTTAACCACTCGGCCACGGGGCTGGCCCCCATCAGGTCTTTTTCAAGGACAATTTCTGTTCATTTATTTTTTTCCTATGAATATGTCATACTTTCCTTCCCATTTTTTGTATGTCTTAATTTTTTTGTTGTTGTTGAAAACTGGACATTTGACTGATAATGTGGTAACTGAAAATCACATTTCCTCTTTCCCCAGAGTTATCTGTTTTTTGTTTTGTTTTTGCTTCTTTTGATTGATGTAGGCTGTCTCTGTGCTAAGGATCAGCCTGAGATGTAAACTGGAGGTCTTCTCAGGTCATTTATGAGCCTGAGCTTTTCTTTGGGCATGCAGAGTCACTTTCTAACTTTCCCTTTATATGCAGTTACTTTTTAATGTCTCAGTCTTTAAAGCCTGATTTCCAAAAGGGGAAAAAGAGAAAAATGAACAGAGATGGGGAAAAAAGGACACTAGCCCTTTCAATCTCCTGGAAGTCACTTCAGCTGGAGGGGGAGTGGCTTGTAACAATGGGGAGAGGTGCAACTTCTTTGTCTGCATCTCTGTGATCAGAGGACAGATCTTGGATATTTGCTTTTTGTCTACATTTGCTCTTGCAAGCTGTATGTAAGGTGCTCCAGAAACCCCTGCACAGCTTCCTGCCATGGGATTGGGTGTAGGGGATGGGTAGCTGCTGTAGAGGTAAGAGCTGAAATTGACCAAAATTAATGGGCAGGGTACTTTTTAAGGCTTCCCCTGGAGTTGTGAGCCTTCAGTAGACTCCAGCATTCTAAAACAGTTATACCAGACAGAGTCTGCCAGTGCAGTTAATGTCTCGGTGGGGAGACAGGTGCTTCCTACTCTGCCCATATTCCCAGAATCCGCTTCTCCTTAAGTCTTTCGTATACATTTTAAAATCAACTTGTCATGTTCCATGAAAAAATCCTGTCAGGATTTTGTTAGAAATTGCATTGAATTTATAAACAGTTTGTGAAGCACTAACATCTAATATTGAGTCTTCTCTTACATCACTATGCTATGTCTGTCCATATTGGGAGTGCTTCTTTAATGACTTTCAACAGCTTTATAATTTTCTTCTAATTAAGGCCATGCATAAGTTTTTCTAGAGTCACTCTTAGGGATCATATATTTTTGTTGATACTGCAAGTACCATTCTTTTAGGAATTACATTCTCCATAGCTCATAAGTGGAAATGCAGTATTAAAAAATAGTTAAAATATTCAAAATATTTTTAAAATATTATTTTTTTGGCCCTTATTTTAAAATTTTAGGGTTGGCCCATTGGCGCAGCGGTGAAGTGTGCATATTCTGCTTCCGTGGCCTGGAGTTTGCTGGTTTGGATCCCTGGTGTGGACATGGCACTGCTTGGCAAGCCATGCTGTGGCAGGTGTCCCACATATAAAGCTGAGGAAGATGGGCATAGATGTTAGCTCAGGGCCCGTCTTCCTCAGCAAAAAGAGGAGGATTGGCAGCAGTTAGCTCAGGGCTAATCTTCCTCAAAAAAAAAAAAATTAAAATTTTAGAACTTTTTCTGAAAATTTCAAATATCTTTTTTACACTGATAACTGTGGTGAAAATGTACATCTTAAAGAGATTATACACCCAAGGGTTTCTTACAGCTGAGGCAGGAGACGTGCGCTACAGGTGGCCATTTGGAGCAACCCTGTACTAAGAAGGACATGACCAGTGGGAGACAGGAAGCACTAATGATTTATTCTCCCTTCTTTCCCCCATGGACTTTTAGGAGACACAGCCATTTCAAAAGGTCTCTCTGAAAACATGCTGTGGTCTTCTGGGTTACATACTCTCTTATATTTGCTCTCCTTCCATCTCTGTCTCATTCCTTTTTTCCTCTCTCTCCTGCTTCCCTGCAATAACAACCCCCCAAAAGTATTATCACATGAGTTTTTTGCTTCAGGTTCTGCTTTCTAACCTGGGCTAAAACAGAGAAATTTTGGATCATCTGAATTCTCATCAGTGACCGTGCTATAAATGGATTTTGTTTCCAGGTTCCAGTGTACAAATTGGTGTTTATATAGAAATAAGCTTAATTCTCTCAGATAATTAGAAAAGGAAAGAGGCAAAGGTAATATATAAGTAAAGTATTTATTAAACCAAGGGAAGGCTGATGAACCTCATCAGCAAGCTGTAGGACAACTTTCCAAGACTTGAATATGGAAAGAGAGAGAATTGAATTAAGCCATAACAGAATAATAGGGACTGTTAACTGAAAAGACCTTGCATTGTAGCAGTCAAATCAAGAGAGGATTCAGTTTCATCAAAACACCACCCTTCATCTTGTTAATATAATTTTAATTTAAACTTCATTAGTATTGTAGTTTATTTTAGAGAAATTATAAGCTTTTGGAGTTTAAACCTAGTTTGGATTTGGATACATTTTAGAACAGTATAATAAAAATAATGTCAACGTAATTAAGGAGACACGTGGGGTGTCCTTGATTTTCTTCTAAAAGAGATTCATTATTTTCTAAAGTTTGAGAAACTGCTTTTTCATAATTTTTCCTTACTAGCTATCTCTTTTGTTATCGCGAGGCTCCACTTGCTAGGATAGCTCTCTCTCTTCAGATCGCCAGTGGGAGAGTTTCCAGCTGCCTTACAGGCGCTCTGGGAATCCATTGTAGCGGACCCCTTGGCTGTCATCTCTTGGGGCTCCTACAGACTAGATGCGGTGGACGTCTCCGATTCAGTTCGTGTATTTTCCTTAGCTAGCCCCAGGCTCAGTGGCTTCCAGACTCTCTAAATCTTCGGCTCCTGCTCTCAGGCTTTCCCCCTTTCAAACTCAGACCCACGCCCACAGATCCCGCTCCCTCTGCTCCGCAGCCTCCCCTCCACCTGTGTCTCTCTCCTTTACGGCAGATGTTCCCCAACCTTGCCTGATTCTAGCCATTTGTTTATAATAGACTTCCAGACTGTCTTTCTGGAAATTGTAGACGTCTAGAGATAAGGCTTAGGGATCTGCATTTTAACAAGCGTCCCGGGGAAGTCTTACGGGCAGGCAAGTTTGAGAAACATGGCTCTAGGGTTTCCCCGGCTCCCATGTTTCTTCCCTGAAGGCACCTCACCGGTTGCGGGATGAGCTGGGTCGGTAACTCTGGCTTGGTTAATTTCGCCGGCGCCAGGTTCCTCAACAGCCTGGGTGCGGTTGCCGGGCGACCAGGCACTTCTGTGCAGGCCGCAGCTCAAGGGAAATCCCGCGAGATCTACCGAAGCGCTTTCCCCTGTTGCCTCGCGGGTCGGGTTCTCTGTGACGCTGCGGCCAGCGGTTGAGGGTGCACCCTAGGCAGGGTGCGGGTGGTGTCCGGTTAGTGTGATGAGGCCCTAAGGCATCGGTCACAGCGTTTTCGTGGACCAACCAGTAGCCAGAATAATTTTTGGCAGGCCACCATTTCCCCCTACTGGATTATGCTTGTCATTAGCATTTGAATTTTTCAGGGCCCAATAACCACCTCTCCCCAGTAAAGACCGGGAAACGAATTGTCTGAATCAAAGTACAGGCCATACCCCACCCTTTCCTCTGATAAAATCCAAATTCCGTACAGTGATATCCCGGTCCATTCATTGTGAACACCCTCACTACTTGCCTCCTGCCCTCTATACTCCAGGATTCCAATGTAGCATTTGGCGCAAAATGCCCTGTTTTAAAAAAATTTCCCCTCTCCGCTCCTCAAAGTAGCGATAAGACAGCCTTTCTTTCCTCCTTAATTCTTTTTTTCCCTTTTAAGATTCAAGGAGTCAGTTTGGAATTACCCCATCCTTTCTGAAGACTTCCTACATACTCAGCTTTGTTAAGTGATGCTCCCTTCTGCCCCCCCAAACTGGGATATATTAAGTTCTTTAGCATAGCACTTACCACACTATTATATGTTTTTTACTTACCCATATCTTCAGTAAGACGGTAAATTCTTTGAGGACAAGGATTGTGTCTTTTACCTGGCTATTCCCAGGACCTAGCAAAGTGCCTTGTATGTTAGCAGGCACCTCATAAGTGTTTGTAAAATGAATAATTTGTAAATGAAGGAGAAGAATAATGAAACAAAGGAATTGACATTTACAGTGGAAAGTGGACTGGGGCTCATTAGGGATATGGTAAAGTGAGCAATCTGGATGTAAGGGACAGTGGAAGCTGGAAAATAGTAACAGCTGTGATCTTGGGGGAGAGAGGTTATGCTGGAAAAGTTGCTATTGCTATTCCTTGAGCAAGGAAGCATCAGAGCAGAAGTTTGTTAGAGTTACAAGACAGCTTAGAGCCCTTGTGGACAGTTTAACTTGCCATTTTGCAGATAAGAAAATTCCCAGGCTGAGAGAGAGGAAGAAATATGCTTAAGGTCTCATGTGAGGTAGGCAGAGAGGGAATTTACCCTTGGGCTCCTGACCTCAAGCTCAGGTCCCCTTTCCTTATATCTCACTGACTGTTACAGTAAAAGTAGCCTAGAAACAAGGACAAGGGGATGGGGACAGATGAACTCTTATCTCCATTCAGGACATAGTTGCTAAAGTCTGTTCTTGAGGCAGTCT